AAAAAAAAAAAAAAAGAATGAATCAGTCAAATAAAAGAATACCATACAGCAACAAGAGTATACCAATTATTGCCACAAGCAGCAGCACAAAAGAGCTGAAGCAAAGGAGAGCAGAGAGAGAACATGTGGTGATTCCATTATGAAGTTTATGAGCAGGCAAAACTCAGCTATGGTGTTAGATGCAGGACAGTGGTTATTTTGGGGAGGAAAGTACTCATTGTGAAGGGGTTCTCAGGCCCCTAGTGTTTGGAGTACACTGGTAATTTTCTATTTCTTGATCTGGGTGCTGGTGTCTAGTAAGTTTACTGAAAAAAAGGTAGGGGAAAGAAAGTAGGAAGAGGTGGATCAAAGCAGTTCTCTACAGAAGAATGCTAGCTAAAAAATGTATAAGGTATAAAATTAGAAGGTATAAAACTAGAAAAAAAAATCACCATTTTCAACTAGCAATGAAATAACTGATCCAAGCAAAAATAATAGATGCCAGAACCACCGGGTAAAAGCTTTTGAAGAACAGCATATTCACTGTTTCAAAGAATCACCCTATAGATACTTATTAATGAGGGAAAAGGGCATATTTATAATCAAGAAATCCAACAGACACCATCTTAATTAATAATTAAACTTAACATCACCAATAATGCAAACATCTGATATCAGGTGCCTCCTAATGTGAGTAATGAGAAAGACAAACATTACCTACGTAATGTTCTCATACTTTAACCTGAACCTAGAATGATAAAACAGGAACCAAATCAAAGGACATTCCAGAAACCCGGACGCCTGGGTGGCTCAGTGGGTTAAGCATCTGCCTTCAGCTCAGGTCATGATCCCAGGCATTGGGCTCCCTGCTCAGTGGGGAGCCTGCTTCTCCTTCTGCCTGCCGCTCCCACACTCTCTCTCTCTGACAAATAAAATCTTAAAAAAAAAAAAAGACATTCTAGAAACAATTAGCCTAGACACTTAAAGAATGTCCAAGTCATGAAACATAAAAACAAAAACAAACAAAACAAAGGAAATGTTTTGAATTAAAAGAGACTAAACTAAATTCAATGAATGATCCTTGAATGGATCCTATATCAGGGAAAAAAAAGTTATAAAGGACATTACTGAAATAACTGGGCAAATTTGAATGACTGCTTATCAGATAATCTTACTGTATCATGTATTTATAATCTGAGTGTGACAATGGGATTATACTAATATCTGAAAATGTCTTTAATTACATGCCACTTGCAGAATTCTCTTCTGAGAAAAACAGATGTTATTTTGTTCTAATCTAGTTGAAAAGCCCATTGCATCTTACTCAATGACATAACTATTGACTGTTTCATCACTCCTGCATCCAGGAATCCACTGCTAAATTGTGTTCATTGGCCTGAGGAATGGGGTAGGGCATGAATCAGTAGGCAGAGACTCCCAGGCCCCTTCCTAGGCTGTAGCCCCTGCTCCGAGCCCATAAAATCTCAGCCAATGTTTTTATTCTTAGGATATACACTGAAGTATTTAGGGTAAAATGAAAATGATGTCTGCAACTTTCAAATAAATTGGCAAAAAAAAAAAAAAGGTCATTATACTATTCTTTCAACTTTTTCAGGCTTGAAACCTTTCCCCAAAAAAAGGTTGGAATTGATGGTACAATTAATTGATAATATATCTATTATCTTTCCCAGAGAATTCTGCCAATTTTTAAACATAATGACATAAAAACATAAGCAAAATTTAACTAAAGATTTATCTTTTCATGTAAGTCGCTAAAAGATTCAAATTTCAGGGCCACCTGACTGGATCAGTTGGTAGAGCATACAACTCTTGATCTCAGGGTCGTGAGTTCGAGCCCCACGTTGGGCATAGACATTATTAAAAAAAAAAAAAAAGATTCAAGTTTCACATCTTTTAGCTTTGAAAATAAAATTGTATACGTTTTAATTAATATTAAGAAAAATTGAGATCTCACAATTACAAATCATCAATCTGTTTCTTAAAAAATCAAGTTTACTTCCCTTTAAGACAGTTTTTTCTTTTTTTTTAAGACTTTATTTATTTGACAGAGAGAGGGCACAAGCAAGGGGAGCAGCAGAGGGAGAGAGAGAAGCAAGCTCTCCGCTGAGCAGGGAGCCCGATGCAGGGCTTGATGCCAGGATCCTGAGATCACGACCCAAACCGAAGGCAGACGCTCAACCAACTGACATTCTAGAAACAATTAGCCACCCAGGCGCCCCAGATTTTTTTCTTAATATGTATGGGATAGGATGAGTTTCTGAGCTGACATCAATTTGATTTAGTCACCTTTTCACCTAACAAAACTCCATCTCCTTGAAGCCAGATGAGAAAAAAGCCTAAGATCTAGTGGGAAGTACTTAGTTTTCCAGAAACTTGGTCTCTGGAAACAGATGTTATAGCTTGAGAGGATGATGAGAATCCTATATTTAATAATCCAACCTGCCAAATTTTAAGGCTGAGTTTTTATTTTTTTATTATTACCATTTTTAAAGATTTTATTTATTTGACAGAGAGAGACACAGCGAGAGAGGAACACAAGCAAGGGGAGTGGGAGAGGGAGAAACAGGCTTCCCTCCGAGCAGGGAGCCCGATGCGGGGCTCGATCCCAGGACCCCGGGATCATGACCTGAGCTGAAGGCAGACGCTTAACGACTGAGCCACCTAGGCGCCCAAGGCTGAGTTTTTAATCTGTAGGACAGAAATTTTAAAATATATTCAAAGTTAGAGAAAAATGTATATATATTTTGCTTCACAGAGCTTAGTATTACAAAATTCTATAAATATCAGATTACACCATAGGTATTTGATGTGTCACATTTATCTGGGCTGCGAAAAAGCACTGCAGCTCAGTTCTATGGGCCAGGGAAAACTAGCAGTACATTAGGGTTTCAGAGCCGAATAACCTGCAGAAGATGGGTAAGTCGGGGCGCCTGGGTGGCTCAGTCGTTAAGCGTCTGCCTTCAGCTCAGGTCATGATCCCAGGGTCCTGGGATCGAGTCCCAC